CTGCTTGCTCTCGTCGTTTAGTCTCAAATTCAAGTGCTTCCTGCAATTTCCTCTTTGCCTTCTTTTCCTTCTTTAGCCTTTTCTGAATTATTGCTGGGAAAAGAAAATAACATCAGCTCTTCAATCTGCATCTGAAACTTGGCTGCATGATTAGCTACTAAGAGTCCTGAGAAACACTATAGCTGCAATGTTCATATAAATTGATTAATTACACAATACCCATTTGAAATTTGCTGGAATCACCCTGGAATATTCTAAGAGCTACTGTTCTACGTGACAGAATCAAAAACTGTAGGTGATACTAAGCAATGACTTTTTTTTCTTTTTCTTTTTTTTTTTTTTTTTAGCAAACAGCTGAGAATCTGTGAATGTTCAAATCCAAAAACCTCGGAAAGCAGCAATGGAATGTACTTTTTGAACCATCTTACATAGATAAGCCCCTGCCTCTGGATGTGATGTGGTTTTTCAAAATTAATGTCACCATTTTTATTCTCCCTGCAGCTTCTCTCACATAAGAGGAGGATCTGTTTGTCTGGGTGCTGGGCAGCCCCACCCTGCTCTGGTCTTCATTACTTGGGGAAAGGCTCTGAGACTTCTAAGTCCCTTCTGAGTCATCTGACCTCTCACTGCCAGGTCTCTTCCCCATATCTCTTTCTTTTCCACATTTCCCTTTTCTTTTTCTTGCTTTCTGTTGGTGTCTGTCACAYCAGCCATCTAACCTTGAAGCACTCACAGAAAATCCCTTTTGGTGCTGAATCCTCTAGTCAAGTAAATATTACTATGCTTTGTCAAATATAAGGGAAAATATTAGTAAAGAAATGAGTATTTTGAAATTAAGCATAGAAAGTCCTAATTTAGAAAAAAATGTTTTCATTGTATCTCTTCAGTTTAAACCYGGTAGGAAAAGGATGGCAAGTTCAGGATGGGAGTTCATCACAATTTTCTTTTCTATGTTACCAGTGACTACAACCACAAAGGTAAGACCTGCAGGATCCCTAACTAAAGGAACATACCACAGGTTATGCTCCTGATGGAAAAGGGKAATGTCAACCAATTTTTCTACTCCATTAAAACCAAAGTGAGCCTCTRAAGCAATCATGTAAAGTTGTAAAGCATGGCATTATCTCCCACACCACATCCCAACTGTTCTCAAATAGCATATTCAGGGCTTTCATGGATGTKCATGCAAAAAGCTTTTTGTCCTAAGATCTTCCTGGATAATCCTCTCTTGGAGAGTCTGTTATTTTGACACTAAGTAAAAAATTAGCTACTAAGCTACTCACTAAAGAATTCTTTAAGCACACCAAAAGAATTATCCTCACCAAACCAAGGTACWAGCAGCTGTTAGGTTTGCATGCCGAAATCTATCTAGCCCTGTATCTCACTCCAAAGTAACCTCTGGTACATGCCTAGGGATGAATGCTGGAAAATACAAAAATATATTYCTACTAGTTCATACTTCCCATGGACAGTGGGCTGTGATGCTGGTATCTTTCACAAAATGCAAATAATGAAACTTTAAAGAGAACTGTCATTGTTATTACTCTTTAATTTATATGCTAAGAAGAACCACCTTTTAGATGATCTTGTACATTTTGTGTGGCTATAGAGAACTGTTCAGGCACAAAATTAACATAATCACATATCCTGTAGTCAGAATAACTAC